GTCCAGCGTTACCAAACCAACAGTACTAGTTTTTAGAGAATCTTCTATAGCATCGTAATTCGCCGTAAATTTTGTCGTGATGCCTGATTTCACTGAAATAAGAGAAGCATAAACGATAAAATGACAAAGTTCCAAACGTTTCTTCATCGTGTATTAATTGGAATTGAACAGGTCTGCTGTTAAGTCCTTAGTCGACAAAGAGAGGGAAGCCTTACGACTTTTCGTTTCTTCCTCTAGTTTCCGCCGCCTTTGCTCGATTGCTTCCTTAGCACGTTCACGTTTCTTGGCAATATGTATCAGACGTCCTTCGTCTGCCTTGGACATTTTCCTGGAAAAAGATTTTCATGTTGATACATTTTTACTACTACATTGTGAGCGCGCTTGTATCCCGTTTCACGAATTGGATATGAAATCACATATTTTTGGCAAATCTGAAATAGATATCCACTGGACAGGCTTAGCCGGTAAACAAGAACAGATCTGTATATGGCATGCTTATAAGAATTCCAAAACTGCTCTTTACATTTCATTTTATCACAGGATACAATACAATAACTGTGGGAAGAGGTTCAATGATAACACTGGCTATCACAAGGAAACGGTTATCTTCTACTCGTATTAGGGGGCTATTAAAAAACCTAACTGTCTAAATTTAATTCCACTGCTAAGTCGGAGAATATTTCAATAGCGTTAGGGTCTAGCTTACTTTCCCCTTGAAAAAAAGAAACAAAAGCAAAAAACAAAAAATAAATAGCAGAAACTTTCAATTTCCGTAACTTTGCTCAATTTATATGTTATCACAATGATATAGAATGAAATGACTACAGTATACTCCAGAAAACCTATACCTGTCCACAGACAATAATCCATATTTCGCTGCAAAATTCCAGTTTCATTGGAAAAACTCATATTTCAGCTCACTTCAATATACTTAAGCACAAATATACCTGTAGAACAAATAGAAACAAGGTCTCGAAGCTCATGAGAAGCCTTGAAGCATGCCTCGAAACATTATAAATCCGATAAAGAACTCGAAAAATGATTCCGTATAAGCTTGCTCAAATAAAGCAGGAAATAAATTGTAATTGACTCTTCGAGGTGGCTTCCACTGCGAAATGTCATTACACACAAATATGCAATGTGGAACAAATAGAAACATGAGAAGTCTTAAAGCGTATTTCTAAACACTATAAATCCGATAAGAAGAATTCGAAAATGATTTGAAACCTGAGCTGTAGAGACAAATTTGTTCCTGCAAGATCCGGAATGATATTAGAGAAACTAAGTGGTAGGTAAGTAATCCTCACTACTACAATGAAGCATAATGACTATACAAAAGTGTACAAAGTACCCGACTCTTTCTAAAAAATAAAGGAAAGCGGATAAAAAAAAGCATCACCTCAAACCAATATTTCATCACATATTAAACTCTTATTGTGAATTAAGCACTTTTTGCCATTAGTAGATATTGTTCACAATTGCTATTCATTTCTCTGCTAAAACTCATTACCCCAAATACTACACCATATTGCACTTGAATTTGAAATCAACTGTTGGTATCTTTTAGTAAAGGATA